TGTGGTTAACAAATCAGCATGGCATTTATACTCTATAAAGCATTATTAGCAACATTAAAAGAATAGCAAGTAAAAATATAAGATAAGCACTGTTAAGTTCTTACAGATACTCTCCATGTCCCCATAATTCATAGGCTTTCATTCTATTCAGTTCCTTTAAAAACACATAAAACGCACACAATGCTCATTGTAAAGGCAACTCAGCCAGACGATGCACCAGCGGGTTCCTTGCGTAGGGGACCATGGTGGAGATGGTGGGGCTCCTGGGGCTCAAACCAGTGGTAAAGTGGATGCGCTGTACATGGGGCTACCTGTACAGGTGACCTGGAAACTACAACCAATCCAGAATGTGGCAGCTAGACTGGTGACTGGGAGCGGCCACCGAGACCACATAACACCGGTCTTGAAAGACCTACATTGGCTCCCAATACATTTCCAAGCACAATTCAAAGTGTTGGTGCTGACCTTTAAAGCTCTAAACGGTCTCGGTCCAGTATACCTGAAGGAGCATCTCCACCCCCATCATTCAGCCCAGACATTGAGGTCCAGCTCCAAGGGCCTTCTGGCAGTTCCCTCACTGTGAGAAGCAAGGTTACAGGGAACCAGGCAAGGGCCTTCTTGGTGGTTGCACCTGCCCTGTGGAACACCCTCCCTTCAGATATCAAGGAAATAAACAACTATCTGACTTTTGGAAGACATCTGAAGGCAGCCCTGTTTAGGGAATTTTTAAATGTTTGATGTTGTTGCTTTTTTATTATTGTTATTGGTGTTCTGTTAGGAGCTGCCCAGAGTGGCTGGGGAAACCCTGCCAGATGGGCGGGTTATAAATAAATAAATAAATAAATAAATGATGATGATGATGATGATGTTGACTCCAGGTAGCCTGCCTAGTTGCCATTGATGAGGAACTCACTCATGTCTCTCTTGATAATCAGGTGGTCCATTCCCACTTGAGGAATACACTTGGTATGAGTGGGAGTCTCCCCTATGAATCAAGGAACTTGCCTGACCCTCTGTTTCTCCAGCAGGAATTCAGATTTCCATGGGACGTTCCCAAGGGTTGGTTCTGTCACTGGAAATCATTCCATGAGAACTGAAATTTCCAAGAAGCTTCCCTCTTTGAAGCACTTGCTGGAAGGGCTTGCACCTTGCTGATTGATCCAGAGCAGACACTCTTGGTGCTCCTTCAGGGCTGCCTGATGGATTTCTGTCCATTCCTTCTGATGTGCTGATGTGACAGGAGATCAGACCCCATCACTCAATGCAGATGTCAGCAGTCCTTTGCATTATGCTGAGCAGATGCAGTTGAGTCAGTGCAGTTGGTGTAAAAGGGATAAGACGTGCCAGCTGCTCTCCTGATGGGGGAGCATAACGCTAATTCGCCAGTCTAGTCTACTGGGAGGACTTAACGACATATGCTAATTCTGAGAGCATGGCATGGGCTTAAAACAGAAAGCATCTCTCAAGCATGCACCAATCAAGCATGATTCAGAAGACCCCAAGAGCTCAAAGGAAAACCATCCATACACACATGTGCCAGATTTAGCTCACTGTGATTAAACAAATTAAATACAGGATATTGCCTGATTTTAAATAAATAAATAAATAAATAAATCTGGCTCATTCTCAGGCCCACTCTCACCTTAACTACTGCAATCTCCCTGTTGGGCTTCATTCCCATTTCAGTGTCTTATCTCATACTTTACCTCCATCCAAACCACGGCTGCCAAACCGATCCATCTGTCCCTTCCTGGTGTGACCATGTGATGCTCCTACCCAGATCTCTTTGCCAGCTTCTCATCCTCTTCATTATTCAGTACAGATTCCAATAGGTGCAGTAGCAAGTCCATTAGGAAGCCATTGTTGTTGTTGTTGTTGTTATCTCTTCCCTGAAATTTATTTCTTTGGTTTTTCAGATTGAAATTTTACAGTCACATATCCCACATACAACTTAAAAACTAGATTCCATCTCTTGGCCTTCCCTCGTCCCCTTTGTGGGTCCTACTGTCAAACATTTCCTCCTGCATCTTTTATAACAATCTGGATCTTTTATCTCTCCATTGTATCCAAAATTTACCATTAAACTACAAGTGGTATTCCAATCCTACTAATGATTTTAACTGTTTGGGCTGGGTGCTTGGGCTGGGTGTTTGGGCTGGGTGTTCATCAGTATGCAGATGATACCCAGCTCTACCTCTCTTTCAAATCGGAACCAGTGAAGGCAGTGAAGGTCCTGTGTGAGTGCCTGGAGGCAGTTGGAGCAGGGATGGCAGCTAACGGATTAAGGTTGAATCCTGACAAGACAGAAGTACTGTTTTGAGGGGACAGGGGGCGGGCGGGTATGGAGGATTCCCTGGTCCTGAATTGGGTAACTGTGCCCCTGAAGGTGCAGGTGATCAGCCTGGGAGTCATTTTGGACTCACAGCTGTCCATGGAGGCGCAGGTTAATTCTGTGTCCAGGGCAACTATCTACCAGCTCCATCTGATATGCAGGCTGAGGCCCTACCTGCCCACGGACTGCCTCGCAAGAGTAGTGCAAGCTCTAGTTATTTCCCGCTTGGACTACTGCAATTCACTCTACCCAGGGCTAGCTTTGAAGGTGACCCGGAAACTACAGCTAAACCAGAATGCGGCAACTAGACTGGTGACTGGGAGCAGCCGCCGAGACCACATAACACCGGTCCTGAAAGACCTACATTGGCTCCCAGTACATTTCCGAGCACAATTCAAAGTGTTGGTGCTGACCTTTAAAGTCCTAAACGGTCTCAGCCCAGCATACCTGAAGGAGCGCCTCCACCCCCATCGTTCTACCCGGACACTGAGGTCCAGCTCCAAGGGCCTTCTGGCGGTTCCCTCACTGCGAGAAGCCAAGTTACAGGGAACCAGGCAGAGGGCCTTTTCAGTAGTGGCTCCTGCACTGTAGAACGCCCTCCCACCAGATGTCAAAGAAATATCTGCCGTTTAGAGGACATCTGAAGGCAGCCCTGTTTAGGGAAGTTTTTGATGACTGATGTTTTAATGCATTATTATTATTTTGTTGGAAGCCGCCCAGAGTGGCTAGGGAAACCCAGCCAGATAGGTGGGGTATAAATAAATTATTACTATTATTATTATTATTATTATTATTATTATTATTATACAATGGTCTTTGAGATAACTTATAAATTTTCCCCATTCCTTATTAAACTTTTGATCTTCCTGATTTCTGATTCCTCCGGTCATTTTAGCCCTTTCAGCATAGTCCATCAACTTGATCTGCCATTAGGAAGCCACTGTTGCACAATTGGCTTGTTTTTATTATTTTATTTTTACGAGATTTTACCTTCTGTAAGTGAATTCCGTGGGGCTTACTCGCAAGGAAGTAAGGTTAGAATTGAAGCCTGCATCATGCCAAATGCATGGCGATTGTGCCGATGCTCTAATCAGCTTGTTGTTTAAGATGCATTGGTCCATACCTGCTCCTAGGAAGCTTGGCTGGGGTCTTTGTTTGTGTTTCTCCAGTAGGCCTTCCTACTCCCATCTCTTCTACTCAGGTGTTTGGCTGCAGGCATCCAAGGCCATCCGAGCTTGACTTGCCCAGCCAGCTGCACATATTTTGTGCCCTTTAATTAAGTTGTAGAGATTCAAAGGGATTTGGCTCCTGCCGCCTCATGCTTTCCTGCCCCCGTGTTCCATTCTAGGGTGGATGTTAAATCGTGCAGAAGCAGAGCGTGACCTCACTCTCGTGTCACTTGATCTGGCAGTAGCTGTTTTTTTGTGTGTAACTCATTTGGAAAGATTGATTGTTGGTTAATTACATTAATGAACTCACCCGACATAGGACGCGGACCAAAAAAAGCTCAGCAGCCTCCTAAACAGCCATTAAGAATAAGACATTTATCTTTTCACCTGACTGTTGCGACTTCCTGCCGGGTGGCAGGGCATACAAAATGTTAATTCTGAAGGTTAAATGACATTGGGAAATAATCATGAACTGCTTACCTTTCCTCACCTCCTGCCCAGATGGCTCTTAGCACAGCAATCAAAGGGCATTTGGATGTAAGAGCTACTTGAAAGGTCTCCAGTAATATGAATCTGGTAGTTTCGGCTGGCACATGGTCACATCTATTCTAGCACAATTCCAGCTTTTCAGACCCAGTGTGGTTGAAATAACTCCTTTGTTAATAAAGGCTGATTCGCGTGATTTGTTGGAGATTGTGAAAATAAAGGGCTAAGTACACTGCTGGCTTGGGGGAAGCTTGCAAATGTGCTTGAGTTTTATAAGCCATTGTGGAGCTTAGTAACCGATCAAGAGCAATCACAAGAAAACAAAAGGTTTGACACTGGATAGTCCAACCAAGAGCTCAGGGCTAAGCTATATGCACATGTAAGGAAGGTCTCCAGCTCAGTGCTTGAGCATCTGTCTTCCATACAGAAGGTTCCAGGTTCAATGTTGAGCAGCTCCAGGCAGGCCTGGGAATTGTCCCCTATCTGAAACCCTGGAGAGCTGTTGCCAATCAGTGGAGACAATACAAAACCAATTGGGCCAATGGGTCAAGCTTAGTAGAAGGCAGCTTCCCGTCTTCCTGTATAAGAGGAAGAGGTCCCAGTTCTTGGGAAGATGAAACAGTTCACATGCAATTGCTGTCTCCTGAAAGTAGCTCTACCCCTTGAACCAATTTTGCTAGCAATGCTGCCATGTTGTTTTGAGCAGAGCTGGAAGGGGCTTGGATAAAGTTTCATATGCAGAACTTTTGATTCATTGGTTTGTGTACCTTCACTTGCCAGCTATAAGCCAATCAGTCCTGTGCTCTAGTACCTCCTCAATCCTTTGGTGTGGTAGCACTTACCCTTTGGGACACCCTCCCATTTCATATCAGACAGGTGCCATCTCTATTGTCTATTTGGCATCTATTGAAGATCTTTTTCTTTTTTCTTTTTTAAATATTTTTTATTAATTTTTAACATATCATTTTCAACAATTGTTAAACATACTTTTATATCTTATACAAGTTTTTTGACTTCCATCAATCACATCTGAAAATTTTCCAATCCTTTCTCTTAATATACTTTTCTTAATATACATTTCTTATTTTCACTATTACATTTAAATCTCATAACTAATGTCTCTCTTCTTTCTCTTCTTTGCAATATTTCATATATTTCTCCTTACAAAACGTCTTGTAGTCCTACTAGCGTAATTTGTTGATTACCGTTGCTCCTCAAATAATTCGTATATTTCTTCCAATCTTCTGTAAATCTCTGGTCCCACAGGTTTCAAATCCTTCCTGTCATTTTATCCAATTCTGCGTAGTCCATCAATTTTGCCTGCCATTCTTCTTTCGTCAGTATTTCTTCTTGCTTCCATTTCTGAGCCAACAATACTCTTGCTGCTGTTGTTGCACATAAGAACAATTTTACATCCTATCTATTAATATCCTCACCTATAATGCCAAGTGAAAATGCTTCTGGTTTTTTTTAGAAATGTATATTTCAACATGTTTTTCATCTCATTATATATCATTTCCCAGAATACTGAAGATCTTTTTCAACTAGCCTTTAAGTGGAGACATTCATTCCAATCAGTGTCTGTATTGGATTTGAAATTGTTTTTATTTTTTTTACATCGGAAGTTGTTTTTAATTGGTTTTGCACATAGAAATTGTTTTTAATACTTTGTATAGAGGGAATTGTTATTTCTTTGTATATACGGAATTGTTGTTTCTACATTTAGCTTTGTTTTTATTGTCGATGGGTTTATTGCGAAATCTGCTTTGGGGTTATTTTACGGGAAATAATTTGTAAATGGAACAAAATTAATAAATAAATTTAGTTCCATGGAAATGCTGTTTTGAGCCTGAAACAGGGCTGTCCCTGTCATTGGGCAGAGCACGGAAACCACCTTAGACTTCAGTTGATTGGGAGTGGTGAGTTATTGTGAGTTATAGGACAGAGCTTTGTATACTACACAGCAAGCCCTTTCCCCTTTAACTAGGGTTGGTCTTTGTGGGATGGGACTGCCATCTTGTCCTTTGCCTCAGGCAGCAAAATGTCTTGGATTAGCCCTACCAGCTAACAATTGGAAGATTGCGTGATAAGAAGTTTTGTGGTTGGTTCACGAGATTCCTGACAATTGGACTCATTAGTGCCTTTGACAAGTCTTATAAATTCATGTTTTGTGTATGGAGAGGCAGGGCTTTTTCCCCATCCAGACCTCATTGGAGCTCAGCTCTGTCACTTCTCAGGTGGGCACGACTGCCATTCTAAGAGAACAAGAGAGAAGCTCATGGTGCGCTCCATCACCTCTTTTTCTAGAAAAATAGCACTGTGTAGAGGGATAATAATAATAATCATCATAATAATGCATTTATTTATTTATTTATACCCCGCCCTCCCTGGCCAGAGCCAGGCTCAAGGCGGCTAACACCAGTAAAATTACAATAAAAATATAGTAAGGGGGGGGAACCAATTTAAAATGGGTGGCGCTGTAGGTTAAACCACAGAGCCTAGGATTTGCTGATCAGAAGGTTGGCGGTTCGAATCCCCACGATGGGGTGAGCTCCCATTGCTCGGTCCCTGCTCCTGCCAACCTAGCAGTTCGAAAGCACGTCAAAGTGCAAGTAGATAAATAGGTACCTTCCAGCGGGAAGGTAAACAGCGTTTCCGTGCGCTGCTCTGGTTCGCCAGAAGCAGCTTAGTCATGCTGGCCCCATGACCCGGAAGCTGTACGCCGGGTCCCTCGGCCAATAAAGCGAGATGAGCGCCGCAACCCCAGAGTCGGCCACGACTGGACCTAATGGTCAGGAGTCCCTTTACCTTTTAAAATACAATTTAAAATACAGCCTCATTTTAAAAGTAGCCCATAGATCAAAACCATAAGGGGAGGGAAACATAAGAGTCAGACTGAGTCCAAACCAAAGGCCAGGCAGAACAACTCTGTCTTGCAGGCCCTGTGGAAAGATGTCAAGTCCCGCAGGGCCCTGGTCTCTTGTGACAGAGCGTTCCACCAAGTCGGGGCCAGTACTGAAAAGGCCCTGGCCCTAGTTGAGACCAATCTAACCACCTTGCGACTTGGGACCTCCAAAGTGTTGTCATTTGTGGACCTTAAGGTCCTCCGCAGGGCATACCAGGAGAGGCGGTCACGTAGGTACGTGGGTCCTAGGCCGCATAGGGCTTTAAAGGTCAAAACCAGCACCTAAAACCTGACCCTGTACTCCACCGGGAGCCAGTGCAGTTGGTAAAGCACTGGATGAATGTGATCCCTGAGTCAAATGTTCCCATGTTAGCACAAATGTCATCAAAACAACAACACAAGGGGTGGGTAAATCCATCATTTTCGATTTCAGTCAGATTCTCATTTTCCCAGTTTCCACATTTCTACACCGGCTGCCTTTTTTCCCCCTTTTTTAACATGTTAATGAAAATTCATCAACATATTTTTCCTGATGTACACATTTTTTTTTGTATGCGATTTTGCCTAATGCACACATATTCCCTCTTGGGACACCTTCTGAGGGTCACCCGTCGTTGGTGGGCAAAGCCAGAGGCAAAAATTGACAAAGTGACAAATGTAATTTTTATACAGTGGTACCTCGGGTTAAGTATATAATTCATTCCGGAGGTCTGTACTTAACCTGAAACTGTTCTTAACCTGAAGCACCACTTTAGCTAATGGGGCCTCCTGCTGCTGCCGCGCCGCCGGAGCACGATTTCTGTTCTCATCCCAAAGCAAAGTTCTTAACATGAAGGACTATTTCTGGTTTAGCGGAGTCTGTAACCTGAAGCGTATGTAACCCAAGGTACCACTGTATTTGTACAATAGGCTTCTTTCTATGCACACTCACACACCTTTCTCTGTCCTCCATCCAGACAACCTAAAAGCAGAGGTCAGTGACACCTTCCAAGCAGGTAAATGCAGCCAGGAGGCAAGGCAGGGCCAGGGAGGGGTGTGGCTTGGGGAAAATTATGAGGGCCAGGTTGAGAGTCCCGAAGGGCTGTATTTGGCCCCCAGGCCCGAGGTTCCCCACCCCTGTGGTAGATCACAAGGAAATACCTCTGCCCTCTTTATCAACCCTTCTTATAGAAACGGCCTTTATGGTTTCCCTCTAGGCCTCTCCTGCTCCTTCGCAACTTCTTCACAAAGGTCTTGTTTCTTGTCCCTTCATCCTCTCCAACGCTTTCCCGCCCCCACAACCTTTCCAATTAGTTTTCAAATCCCTGGCCGTTATTCAATTGATTGTGTTGAAGGGATGGAAGCTTCTGAAATATATCTTCCACCACACGAGGCAGGAGAATAGAATTTTCTTACCCTTTATCCCTGACCTTTCGCTGGTCTCTCATCTTTCTCATATCCTCCAGGTCTCTGAAGTGAAAAAAAGAAGAAGAAAAAAGCAGAGGGCCAAAGCGATAATTAGCCAGCACTTTTGCTGTAATTACTGTGTTAGCATCTCTGGAGGGACATGAAAGAGAGCACTGTCCCTTTAACAGGACGATTTGATAATCCTCGTAACAATTCTCACTTTCTTGGGGGGGGAGGGGTGGTTTTTTTTGGGGGGGGGGGATAATATTTCACAGGAATTTTAACTTTGTGAAACGCGCCTAAAGGGAGGCTTAAGCAATAATGCAAAGATTATGGAAATGACTCTCATCTGAGCACGACGAAAGGACCCGGCAAAAAGCCACAGACGGCTTCAGAACAGCGTCACCCCCATTAGGAGTGCCGTTCAAATGTTTATTCATCAAGCGGTAAATGTTTATTGTAATGCGCTTTATTGGGACATAAATTAAAGAAGCGTGATTACGGACATAGAGAACGTTAGAGCAATGTTTGTTTACCAAGGCAGAAGGTGAGAATGGGAGCAGGCTGGGAAAGGAAGGGGGTTGGGCTATTGCTACCTGTGATTTGGCAGGTGTAGGAATGAAGGGAGGAAGGCTTTGCAAAGTGATAAGCACCCCGTCTCTAGATCTCTTTATGCATTTCACCAAGACTGGCAAAATGTGGTCGTAATGATGGCCTGTAGCTGAGCACAGCCTCATCTAAGGACAGACAGATCAATCTAAATCCGTCCCCTTTCATTTTCACCGGCACTCAATCTTTGCCGGGTCCACGACTGTATAATAAAATTTGCGTTGCGTTCTACCAGCACTCAATCATAGGTCCATTTTGTTCAGAAAGAATGCCTTAAAAGCTCGCGTTTCAACTGTACCCCTTATTATATGCATTACTGGGCATGTTTCTGTATGCAATTCCCCAATGGCTGTGTTTTCCAGTGCTTTTCAGTGTGCTTTCCCCATAAAACAATATGCATTTGATGTGCCTTTTAACCCTAAAAGAGTGTTTTCGTGCGCTCTGTTTTGGCGCACTGAAAGCGCATTGCAAAATCCGGAAAAGTGTGGAAATTAAAGGTGGAGGCAACTCTTGGTCCTCCTTTTACAATGCTTGGTATCCTCCCTTTTGCAATGCTCTCAATAGGGTATGATTGTTGTGAGGCACAATTTCCTAATAATAATAATAATAATAATAATAATAATAATAATAATAATAATTTACTTATACCCCGCCCTCCCCAGCCAAGACCGGGCTCAGGGCAGCTAACACCAAATATAAAAACAATTGATTGAAATACAGCTTAAAAAACAAGATTAAAATACAACATTAAAACATTAGAATGCAGCCTCATTTCAGTGGAACTCAGTCAAAAACTTTTTTGGGGGATAAAAACGTCAAGTCTTCACCAAGGCTAACTATCCATACTGGTCAAGGAAGCCAGGGAAAAGCCAGGGAAGTCCCAAATAGGAGTTCCAACAGAAGGAGAAAGGAAAAAAGTGTCAGTGTTTGTAAAAAGCAAAAAAAAGGGTTGGAACTAAACAGTACAAATTGAGAGCATTTGCAGATGACTTAGTATTGACGTTACAGGAGCCAGAATCTAGTACTAAAAGGGTTTTAGAACTGATTCAAGAATTTGGTCAAGTGGCAGGATTTAAATTGAACAAGTCAAAAACCAAGGTTTTAGAGAAAATTTAACACCGTTTGAAAGAGAGAGGTTTCAGAATGAGACAGGTTTAACAGTGGTTAAGAAAGTTAAATACCTGGGGATTAACATGACAGCAAAAAATGGGAATTTATTTAAAGATAATTATGAAAAATGTTGGTCTGAAGTGAAAAAGACTTAGAAATTTGGTCAAATTTGAAGCTTTCACTGCTAGGCCGTATTGCTGCGATAAAAATGAATGTATTGCCTAGAATGTTGTTTTTGTTTCAAACTTTGCAGATTGTTGACAAAATGGATTGTTTCAAGAGGTGGCAGAAAGATATTTCTAAATTTGTCTGGCAGGGCAAGAAGCCCAGAATAAAATTTAAAATTCTAACGGATGCAAAGGAAAGAGGCGGATTTGCCCTGCCAGACCTCAAACTTTACTATGAATCAGCAGCCTTCTGCTGGTTGAAAGAATGGCTACTTCTTGAAAACACTGACATTTTGGACTTGGAAGGTTTTAATAATGTATTTGGATGGCATGCATATTTATGGTATGATAAGGTCAAAGCACATAAAGCATTTAGAAACCACATTGTCAGGAAAGCGCTATTTAATGTTTGGATAAGATATAAGGACTTGTTAGAAAACAAAACCCCAAGGTGGCTGTCACCAATGGAAGCGAAAGCCTTGAGAAAGGTCAATATGGAGGTCAAATGGCCGAAATATTGGGAAATTTTGGAACAAGACGGAGATAGACTGAAATTGCAGAGTTTTGAAAAACAAAGTGCGAGACTGGCTTCATTATTTTCAGATAATGGAGGCATTTAAATTGGACAAGAAAATTGGCTTCCAGGTGGAAAGATCCAAATTAGAAACAGAACTGTTAGAACCCAAAACTAAGAATTTGTCAAGAATGTATAACTTGCTGCTGAAATGGAATACTCAGGATGAAACGGTAAAATCGGCTATGATTAAATGGGCACAGGACGTTGGACATAACATTATGTTTGCTGACTGGGAACAGTTGTGGACCACAGGTATGAAATTTACGGCATGTAATGCCTTAAGAGAGAATATTATGAAAATGATATACAGGTGGTACATAACCCCAGTCAAGCTTGCAAAAATTTATCATTTGCCCGATAACAAATGTTGGAAATGTAAAGAAATTGAAGGTACATTTTTCACCTTTGGTGGACGTGCCCAAAGATCAAGGCTTTCTGGGAAATGATATATAATGAATTAAAAAGGTATTTAAATATACCTTCCCTAAGAAACCAGAGGCCTTTCTCCTGGGCATAGTCGGCCAAATGGTGTTAAAAAGGATAGAACTTTCTTTATGTATGCAACAACAGCAGCAAGAATACTCATCGCAAAGTATTGGAAGACACAAGAACTTCCCACGCTGGAGGAATGGCAGATGAAATTAATGGACTATATGGAACTGGCGGAAATGACTGGTAGAATCCGTGACCAGGGAGAAGAGTTGGTGGAGGAAGATTGGAAGAAATTCAAAGACTATCTTCAGAAACATTGCAAAATTAAAGAATGTTAGAGTGATGTTGGACTGAATATAAGTGGTTTCCAGCTGTACAGGTTAAAGTTAATGATAGACTAAGATTAAAGATTAGGTTTAAAGATGTTTAAGGAAATGGAAATTTGACAATTAAGAGGTAAAATTTCAATGCTATATTACATTAAGATCAAAGATTAGGTTTAAAGAAGTTGAAGTTATATATTATATTAAAATTAAAGATTGGGATTAAAAAGTGGAAAAGAAATTGCTGGACAAACAATTTGGATTGGAATACAAAAGAGGGAGGTATGAGGAAGTCTAGAAAATAAGTAAACTTAAAAACGGAAATGGAAAAGAGATATTGTTTTTAATTGTTATGTTTCTTTTTATTGTTGATTCTTGCTCTTCGTGTTTTTTTATTTTCTTTCTGGGATTTGTATTGTGTATTTGTGTATCTTTTTTATGTTTTTTTTTTCTTTGCTGTTCAATTTTTGATTGAAACTTTAATAAAAATTATTTAAAAAATAAAATAAAATAAAAAGCAAAAAAAAAGAAGGAAAGGGTTCTGACCTCCCTTTGTCTCTTCAGTCTGATCCTCGGACCCTTGTCTGCATAAAAGAGTCCACGAGAATATCCTTGCAGAGTTTTATTCTTAAAAGTCTTTGTGCAAAACACAACTGAATAACTATACACACCAGCACTAACCAACCACCCAACCCAAACACCAGCAACCAAACTAACATTTCTCACTCTATATCTACAACTTGGTGCAGACCGCTGAGTCATGCTGGCCCAGCTTTATTCGCATTAAAGAAACAGCGGCCATTTTAGCCGTGACAAAAAGAAAGATGGGGAGGGAATCAAAGTGATTCCAAGCCAAAGGCCAGGCGGAACAACTCTGTCTTACAGGCCCTGCGGAAAGAAATCACATCCTGCAGGGCCCTGGTCTCATGAGGCAGAGCGTTCCACCAGGCTGGAGCCAGTGCTGAAAAAGCCCTGGCTCTGGTTGAGGCTAATCTGACTTCCTTAGGACCCAGGACCTCTAGGGTGTTGCTATTTATGGACCTTAAGGTCCTCCGTGGGGCATACCGGGAGAGACGGTCCCATAGGTACGAGGGTGCTAGGCCGTGAAGGGCTTTAAAGGTCCTTGTGTTTCCTGTTAGCCTTGGATCCTCCTGGGGCTCAGGAAGGTGTCTGGCTGTGCCAACTGCTGATTCCAGGACAGGACTAGACCCAACATAAATTCACCAGTGGACCATGGTTGACCCTCTCCCCTTTCCTGCTCTATGCTCTGTGTGTGGAGAACACTTTGCAGCTCCTTGACTTAAGCTGAACTTGTCAACATACTGTTGATGATATTTCTATATGTTCTTAACTGGGTGCAGATTAATTCCTATTAACGATTGAGATCCCTGTAGAACTGCA